TCGTAGCTCCTATCATCGCCCCTTCCTCGTACGTATTGTCAGTATGCTACACCAGCGCCAGAGTGCTGGACGTGCTTGGGACGTACGTAGGTACTGCGACCCCCCCCCCCCGCTCGACAGCAAAATTTTGTAAAAAAAACCAGAAATTTTTTGGGAAAAAATAGACAAAGTGGTAGGAGGTTGGAAAAATCTAGGAAAGAGGTAACATGGGGAGGGGGTCGTACTTGAAGATGGAATTAGGGGTCGTATTTTTCAGGAAATGATCACAACGCAATGGCGTGCCCTGTCTGCGTCGCAGCTGTAAAATTTGCCCCATATTTTTTTCGAAAAAAGCGAAAAATTCCCGCCCACTTGCCAATTCGAAAGAAGCCTGTGCTGTTCAAAATAAACCCTCTATACAGGCCAAACTTCGAAAAGTGTCGGAGCCCCGGGTGGGCTCCCCGACATACATATTATACGTCTTGGCGCAGCGCCAGCCCATTTCCATCATGGCAGCCCACCCTTCAGTGGGCGACTCTAGAAACCAAAAACTAGGTGCTCAGGAACGCTACCAGCAGAAGCTCCATCAAGCGCTATACCTACATAACAAAACGATTATAGGCTATGAAGCCAAGGGAACGGTCAAAGACTGAATAGGTTCCTGTCAAAGACTAGTAATTACCTTTCTGTACTACCAAGTACGTCTGAACGTTGGCAGCGATGAGATCAGCTACAACCTGCAAAGATAAAATGACCCGAATCAGCTGTTTATGTGGGACACTTAATTACCAGTGAAATCGAGTAAGATCTGGTAGTAGTAAGAAACACTTCACTCACTGTTTTCAGTGTGGTTAGACCAAGATAGTCCACATAAGGGAATCCACTGCAGTCAATAACTAGTCGACATCGGTCTTCATGAGCCATACCTTTGTAAGCTGCACGAGCTTTCTGAAAAAAAGAACGATTCTCGTTTTGCACTGTAAGGTTACAGCAGTACCTGGAAGTACAAAGTAGGTTCCATATTATTCCTATGCTAACTTTGTTTTAACTTTGCCTTGACACCCTTGAAGCCACCAGGTATGGGAACAAAAGCATGTCCCAGTCAAAAAGGAACGTCCTTTGTTCCTAAACCAGTCATAGGCCATATTGGTGGAGTGGGAGCGCCTGTGAGCTCGATTGCTGACGCGCATTACAAGAGCCTTCACTGCTCGTTCTGTTGTACACGCGTCAAATGAAAACCATATCACTATAATGACGAGCTGTAACAAGTTGTAATGTAACCTTTTCAAAAATGTCGTCCGTATTGGCGGAGTTCATCTGATCGATTGTCACGAAGGAATCTGCTTTGGAACGTTCGAAAGTCTTCACCGACTGCCACACTGCCTGAATTGAAATTTGATATTGAATTAAGCAGGGACGGCATGATGGGTGGCGGTTGTAGTAACCCTCTCCGCGTTCCCCTTCGGCTCATCGGCCTGCCTCATTCTTGATTGTACAGACCAAAGGTCGTGCTGAGGCGTGTATGGAGGTACCATGGCGGTGACACAGCTTCTTACGACGATGGCCGAACAATCGCGTACAGCTCACCATCCTTTCTGGCGCTTGTGCATGCATGCAGAAAGGATAGTGAGCTGCACGATTGTTCCTCTGACACCGGCCAGATCGCTTTGACAGGCAAGCCAGCAATCGCACAACTAGAAACTATCTTTCTATGTATTGTCCTTACGACTAATGCACTTCTGAGATTCTGACCGCTTGTGATCGATCGATACTACGTGAAAATGAGTGGTGGCGTCCAATGCGAATACGCATACATTTCCTCCCACAAACTCTAGATGTTTTTTCTTCGTCTCTTTGAAAATGTCAGATTCAGAATCGCGGGAAAGAAAGTGCCATTTTGGCCTGAAACTATCTGTTACACCATAATAGTCACGGTGGATTACGTTCGAGAGCTCTCACTCTACTTATTCAGGGTCGAAAGAAAAACGAAATACGAAAGAGAAACGAATAGAACGAGAGGCAGCCTGCGGAATAGCTGAGGATACCTTAGGTCAATTGACTCTATCCTACTCACTGAAGTGCTTTCAACATACCTCTGCATCCGTATTATCGTTGTTAAGACAGCGAACCCTGTGGCAAGAAGTAGTCCCTCTCCCATATCGAAGCAGACTGTCAATACCATGCTCATCACCCATATAGTCTATAAATATAAAGCTACTATATTCATAGTAAAAAGCAGCAGATGTGGCTATTGTGTGCCGCAGATGCTGGCGTGATTGGATGCTTCATATTGCCACCAATCATCAACTCGCGAGCTTCGAAGCCGTCAATTCCAAATTTTTTCAGGATACCCTATGACGGAAAATTTTTTCAGGGTACCCTATGACGGAAAGGATACAGAATTGACTGTAAGAACTCACGAAATCGACTTTGAACACGGGCCAAAGTTCTCGTAGTTCAGCGAATTTTGCAAACATAGCCCTTTGTGACACAATAATCATAGCCGATAAAATGCATTTCGGGAGATATTCCAGTGCGGGTCCGATGTAGAGAATGACCAGAACTAAGGCCAACGATGAGAAAAGACAGGTCAACTGTAAAATGCAAATTATCAATGTAATTTCTCTCGTTTCTTCGTGTTGCGTGCCAAACGTTCTCCAGCTAACACCAGGCACGCTCACAAAACCCTTCATAGTAGTACTTCAAGCTCTGATCGTCCTTTACCGACGTCCTGCACTTTTTGCACCGTTGGAAAAAATTGGCACAATACGAGCCCCTCAAAATTTCTTCTTCTGAGACTACCACCCCCTGTCCTATCCCCATCCTAACTCTTGGAAGTCCCCTAACTTCCGTCCAATTTCCTTTTCCAAAGTTTTCCTATTTTGCGAGGAGGACAGAAGAAAAGGGTACCTGACGTAACGAAAGGTGACGAATGTGAAGTGGGGAAAAAAGAAAAAGCCAAGAAAGCCAACAGTCAAAAACCCTTTCCACAAAGGCGGACACGATTTCCTCCCCCCCCCCACCCCCCTTACCCTCGAACGTTGAAATAGGGCTCCCTTCGTATCGGTCAACCTACAACGTTGCTAATACCCAAATTCCAAAGGAATCACAATTACCTGTGTACTACTGCCAACAGCAGCTCCAACGACACTTCGAGCAAATCCAGATGTAACCGGAAATACCGGGAAAAATGACGATAAAACGCCGACGAAACCGAGTGCATATAGCTCCTTATAGTGGTGTCATTGAATTCGACTATTATGGTGTCACAGATAAAGAAAAGTTGTTCACCTGCCCGTGATTAACTTTGTATTTGTAACGTTTTTCAACAATTTTAGCGACAGTAAGGTGAATTGCAACGGCTGTCAAAGCAATAGCGACAGCGTTAACGCCAATGTATTGAATAAGGTCGAAGCGAGGCAGTGAAGGTGGAGGAAATCTGGAACAAATGCGGTACTTCACCTAAACAGGCACATTCCACCATTTGAGTCGTAGGTATTGTGGTCGATAAGGTATGTTAGTGACAATTGAGTCATAAGTGAAAAAAGGGTAGAAGAAACCTCCGAGAAGCCACAAATAATTATTGACTGGTTCCCAGCGTTGGATGAGTATGCGTTGAAGAGAGAGACGCAGAGACACTAGGCTGGAGGACGATATTTCAGATAAGAGCGAGTGTAAACAGCAGAGCAGCCATTATATAGATCATTTTCAACGGTCTATTTAGCTTTTTTCTTCGGAGAATTACAGCACTTGGGAAACTTCGGCCTTTGGAAATACTGGTTCAACCCCACTACTCTTAGCTTACTATCATGACGCGTGCCTTCACAACGCATAGGACGAGCTATATGTGAGTTTCATCTAATTGGTGCCACTCGTGGATCATTGGTACGTAAACTATCCCGAAAAAAGTACCACGGGCGGTAACAGGCTACCCTTTCCCCAACACTCATCGAGACCTCAGATTTGGAAAGTTGAGAAATGTCACAAAGTGAAAAGGAACATAAAGACTCACTCGGTTGGTATATTTCCCAGTACTTTGATATCATAGCGTCGTGACAATTCAGCATAATTGGTGGCAGTAATGCCGACGACAGCCTGTTAATTAATTAGTTAATGGAATAGGTGGCCAGACATTCCAAAATGATGAAAAATGAAGCTTTATTAAAGCTGGAATTCATAAAAAAAATTTATACAGCTCGACTATCACGCACAGATTCGTTCTGCTGACCCTTACTGCTTCATTCAATACGTTAGATCACATAGGTATACACACCTTCACAGCTACATTACTCAAGGATTTGAGAAGGCGTAGTTTACTGTGTGAGCACCTGGAGCTACTCAACTCTCTTCGAGAAGCTTTTCGGAAACAATATTGGTAAGTTCAGCAATTCTGCTAGTTTTTTGACTTGATCATCATGAGGGTACGAGGTTTAGTGTGTAGTAGCCCACCTGTTAGGGCGGACCAGAGGTCAGCGCCAATGTTCTTTGTGGGAAGTGTGCGGCCCATATCACTGGGTGCTGAGACAATTCAACTGACGGACCTAACTCCCCCCGCCCACCCTGCCCCCCCCCTCCATCTTTTCTTTCCCAATGGCGCCAGATGTCGACGCCACGACTTCCATAATGGAACAAGAACTATCTTCGATGATTAACAGTGAAAAGCAGCCTACACCATAGGACTCCTCCTTTCCTAGGGCGAGATGAAAGCTTTACTGGCAGTTCGCGTTAAAAGAAAAATATCTGCAGTGATTTCAAAAAGTTGCATCAAGCAGCTGTTCAAATTATGTATTACGCATTTTTCCCCTAGTATGTTACACTAGTACCATAAATACTTTTCAAAAAATCATTTCAATTACGTACCAGTACAAGATCGAATGGAATGGGAAAGTTGAATGCAGTACTCAGCCAAGGTGAGATGAATTCCTTTCGAAAATTAAAAAGCCAACGATTGCATAAGGGGAAACTCGCTTAGGGTAGGATAATGTATATTGCCAATATTCTCAATGAGATCGAATACTCTCTGAAAAATTCGAATATCAAACAGACTTTTCTACCTCAATTTCGGCCGAAAAGCATATCTTCCGATCCGGCAAAGCATGAACACATGCTAAGAGCGTAGTCATATTTGGCGACAAACCTAGTAAGTGGAACAACAAACAGTAAAAGACTTAGCTCACATAATACAAGTAACCCGGTCCACTTCTTCTCGGTAACTTAATACCAAGTACATCACCAATCTGTGCAAAAAACACGTGTACTCCACCACCAACGACGAATCCAGACATTACTTGTTCCGAGAAAACTGTTGTAATATACTGTAGTCGAAATACACCCATGAGCACCTAAATTGAGAACTTACAACGTTCTTATTGATCGGGAGGACGAATGAAAACCAAATCATGACTTTCAGCTTTGATGGGGTTCGTTTTCAGATAAGCCACGAGCGACATCACAACATTTTTTTCAGCCTACAGAGTGGCTCTCTGACCCAAATATGCAAGAGTCCAGTACCAACAAACAGCCATGGTTTATATGTTGGCTGTTGTATTCCTAAAACGTATCCCGTGATCCGGATTGTTGAGCGCGCTTGGCTCGTACTCAGGGGAAGCTTGAGCTTTTTGGCTGAGACATCTCAGAGTTATTGGAGAGACAATATGTACTCATGCTCACTGCCCCGCACAGGACAGGATAACAACTTCCTCAAATGCAGGTATGCTATGGAATACGGACCCTAACCATGTTTAAACTTGTAGGTTGCCATGCCTCCTCTCTATGCAGGATATCGAGAGTATTTGATCATTTCAGCGGGTAAAAATAGTAACCTGTATGCAGCCAGCGAAAGAAAATAATAGTAGTAGCGACGTGTATCTCCTTTACTGGACTAACACCGTCTGTCCACATTTCTGTAGTAATTTCTTCGATCAGCGATGTGCCGTTTCCAAGTCTTAACCACAGAAAGTAAATCCGAGTAGTTCTTAAAAAATATTGAGGCTTCATAAATCAAAATCTTTATCTGTCCTGCAACGTGATTGCTTCAAGGCGAATTCGCGTATGAGCGTGTGTGGGCGCGGTTATCTGGAGTCACTACTATCCTTGAAGGAGCATTTGGCAATCTCATTGTGCAAAACCAGTTTTGCCATAATTAGTATGAGGGCTGTTGCTCACTCAAAGGGGAGGGGAAAAAGGAGCTAGGTGGACGTAACTCCGAGCATAATAAATCTATTCGAATGACGTCACTACCAGTTTTGCGGGGAGTCTTTTGAACACCCTTCTCCAAGATTTATTCAGCACTCAATGGTTGCCACCTCATTCTCGGATGCTCCGGTACGATCCCTTTTCATAATAGGCCGATCATCTCACCATAGTTGCCAACCGCTCGCAAGGGTGGAAGGTGCCTTGTCTGCTCAAAGAATGACCATTTATTCCGTGATATACGTAGTTCGTAAACCTGAGCGGTATAAGGAGCAAAAACTGAACGAATCTCGCATAGCAGTGAGGAGTGAGCGTCAGTAGACGTGCAAGTGCTTGCAAGACTCTTGCACATGGTTCTTTGGCTTGAAAGACACATATATTGTGTGACCGGTACATTAGGCTGCGTTTATACTTTGCGGCAGCGTAGCGTAGCGTAGCGCAGCGTAGCGTAGCGCTTCCAGCGTACGCCAGCGGCAGTGCCGAAGAGAGGATGCATATCGATCTAGCTTCACCAGCGTCACCAGCGGCACGCTGGCGTACGCTAGGCGTGAAGCGAGGGCGGACGTATTCAGGCGTTTTCACCGCAGGCGCGGTTTTAGCGCTTTGCAGCGGCAGATAACTATTCCGTGAGAGAAGCGGAATCGACGTGTATTGTAGAGACCATATGGCCGTCGGAGACGCAGAAGCGATGTGCATTGTAGAGACTATGTGGCCGTCGGACGCAGAAGCAATGTGCATCGTAGAGACTATGGGGCCGTCGGAGACGCAGAAGCGATGTGCATTGTAGAGACTAAGGGCGAGTGGGAGACGCGCAATCGATGAGTTTTGTACCCTCCAGCTCTCCCATAGTCTCTACTCCCCTGCCGCTGCAAGCGCTAGCAAAACGCTGGTGAAACGCTGGAGAAACGCTGGAGAAACGCTGGCGTACGCTAGCGTACGCCAGCGTGCCGCTGGTGACGCTGGTGAAGCTAGATCGATATGCATCCTCTCTTCGGCACTGCCGCTGGCGTACGCTGGAAGCGCTACGCTACGCTGCGCTACGCTACGCTACGCTGCCGCAAAGTATAAACGCAGCCTTATAGCAAGTTTTGAAAGCCCTAAAAGGGCAGAAATGTCGCGGAATTGTTGGTTGGGTCATCCGCCGTGGATTAAGCATGTGTGTAGTGACTTATTCCAATGTTTTAGTGGGCTTTTCGATCGGGGTACATCAGGGCGTTGTTCACAAGTTCCCATTCTCTCATGAGATTCCATTTGAATTGAAATAGATAGAAACCCCTCACTACACCATCATAAATAGTAGTTTTGTAGCGGCGCCGCCGACCAGATTGGATGGCGGAGTGATAAGCCACTAAGTGTAGGACCGGAATAATTCGAAAACCTACCGTTTTCTCGTGGCGGGACCCGCATGGATTCGTGGCACGCTGGCTCTTTGCCATTCGTAATACTAGGGACGTGGAGAGTTCTGTTCTTTCTGTCAAGGATGTAGTGCTTCCGCGTTTCCATTGCTGTGCGAATTGAAATCCACTTTCATGTTCCCGCTCGCATAGAGTATACCGATTTCCTCACTCGAACGGCGACATGGAGTAGCCACAGAAGCGTGACTTCCATTTTTTCATTTTTGTGCAGCCTGCTTGGAAGCAACTCTTTTAGACTTATGACCGACTTGAAGAGGAGCACGAAACTCTACTTCATAGTAAGAACGGAAATGCTCCAAAGGACATGATGGACTCATTTCAAAGCTGTAAAATATTTTGATAAAAGAGCGATTGAATCTCATGAGGTCTCATGCTTCTACAAGGCTTACGTGAGAAATGCCAATCTTGTCAGTGTTTTCCAGGTAAAGGGCATTCGACTAAAGGTTTTCCGTACCCGAATAAGTGCACAAGGCAATCGTTACATGATCACGGGAACCAAACCTCTCAAAAGGAACTGTTTTTCATGGGATCAGACAAAGCGGTTTTTCCCCATTTATCGTTGTGGTTTTGAGGTAGGCTACACCATAAAACTTAATATCATTCTTCTTTAAGGGGCAATAATAAATCCTACATCAGGAACGCTCGGCCCGAAGGATATCAGCGAAACGCGGTGTCGCAAATCTACCTTCCATACACCTACTTCTATACTAGCTTCGATTTAAGTTCAATGATGTTCACCTTTTCGGGCACAAGGCAATTTTATTCGGAGATGAACGCCTGTAGATACGAGGCAAATGTTTCAGGGAAAACTACCACGCGGTCTCTTAAATGTCCAAGGACGGAAAAATTTCACGATTTTCATGGATCGATCTGTCGTTTCTGTTAGCAGTAACTATGGCATAGTATCGTATAACTCTAGGATGTCAGTTGATTTGTTCCCACGGGATGTATTCAGTTGTGCAGTGATGTCCCACATTGACCACATCAGATTAGACGAGAGAGCTCTATCATGATACGCAGAAATAAAGCCTCTTGCTCCGTTGGCAGACGCAAAATGGAGTTTTAGACGAAGTTTCGAAACCAAAATCCCCATCTGAAAGCGCGCATCATCAAGATGGCAAGATGCTACCTTGATGATGCGCGCCGCACGTGTCGCGCAAACGTTGTGAGAGTAGATGCGTATCCCGCCACGAAAAAGATACGGTAGGTTTTCGAATTATTCCGGTCCTACACTTAGTGGCTTATGGCGGAGTGGGGGGGGGGCATAATGCGCAAAACTGGAGACATCATGAAAAAAAAGTGAGAAGACGGTGAAAAAAAGGTGAGATTTCAGGCGGAGTTCGAACCCGCTTGTCCCGCCACTAATTACGCCATGGAGACCGTTCAACAGCACAGGGAGCGCTTTATGCTGTTCGTAAAGATGTGACGATTGCCATATGGAAAAGTTTCCTACAAAACTACTGCATTTTTCATTTGTATAATAACTCTGGTAAAGTTACCCACACCGAAGTCCCGTTGAGGCCGTCCAACGTTGGGTCTAGCTCTTCTATTGTGTGATTCACGTACGAAGTAGCATTGTAGCTGATCGCTGTCCTCATCATCACCTTCTCAATAGCCGTGTGTGTCATGAGAGATAGAACAGCAAATCCACCTGAAGTGAATTTTTTGGAAAGAAATACGGAGAACTGACTTATACAACCAGGGTACAGCATAGGGATAGGCGAAATGTCGGTGTGAGTACGACCCTCCCCCCTTTTTTTTCCCCGTTGGCACGACCCCCCCCCTCAGCTCGACCTTCGCCGACTGACGCGAGCGATGGGTATATAGTCGGCGAAAACTCGTCGAGCGGGTCGAGCGGGGGGTGGGGGGGGATTCGAATTTCGAATTCGAGGAGAGATAAAACTCCATGTCGGGGAACAGAATCTACCCCTACTTTGCACCTAAATTCAAAATGCCAAGCAGAACAACTCGTCCTTTAGGCGTCGCTCGCCATACCTGCTAGCGCGGCACATAACGGTTGTCTTGTCACATACTACCAAACGACGTACACCCAGCACTGTTTCCAAGGGCAGATACTGGTTGGCAGTGAGCGTGTGAACAGAAGTTTCAGTGATGAAGACCTGTGTAACACCAAACAGTTCCGTCCCAGCGTTCCACACGGCCTTCTCTCATTTGGGGGGGGGGGGGGGGGGGGGGGGGGGGGGGGGGGGGGGGGGGGGGGGGGGGGGGGGGGGGGGGGGGGGGGGGGGGGGGGGGGGGGGGGGGGGGGGGGGGGGGGGGGGGGGGGGGGGGGGGGGGGGGGGGGGGGGGGGGGGGGGGGGGGGGGGGGGGGGGGGGGGGGGGGGGGGGGGGGGGGGGGGGGGGGGGGGGGGGGGGGGGGGGGGGGGGGGGGGGGGGGGGGGGGGGGGGGGGGGGGGGGGGGGGGGGGGGGGGGGGGGGGGGGGGGGGGGGGGGGGGGGGGGGGGGGGGGGGGGGGGGGGGGGGGGGGGGGGGGGGGGGGGGGGGGGGGGGGGGGGGGGGGGGGGGGGGGGGGGGGGGGGGGGGGGGGGGGGGGGGGGGGGGGGGGGGGGGGGGGGGGGGGGGGGGGGGGGGGGGGGGGGGGGGGGGGGGGGGGGGGGGGGGGGGGGGGGGGGGGGGGGGGGGGGGGGGGGGGGGGGGGGGGGGGGGGGGGGGGGGGGGGGGGGGGGGGGGGGGGGGGGGGGGGGGGGGGGGGGGGGGGGGGGGGGGGGGGGGGGGGGGGGGGGGGGGGGGGGGGGGGGGGGGGGGGGGGGGGGGGGGGGGGGGGGGGGGGGGGGGGGGGGGGGGGGGGGGGGGGGGGGGGGGGGGGGGGGGGGGGGGGGGGGGGGGGGGGGGGGGGGGGGGGGGGGGGGGGGGGGGGGGGGGGGGGGGGGGGGGGGGGGGGGGGGGGGGGGGGGGGGGGGGGGGGGGGGGGGGGGGGGGGGGGGGGGGGGGGGGGGGGGGGGGGGGGGGGGGGGGGGGGGGGGGGGGGGGGGGGGGGGGGGGGGGGGGGGGGGGGGGGGGGGGGGGGGGGGGGGGGGGGGGGGGGGGGGGGGGGGGGGGGGGGGGGGGGGGGGGGGGGGGGGGGGGGGGGGGGGGGGGGGGGGGGGGGGGGGGGGGGGGGGGGGGGGGGGGGGGGGGGGGGGGGGGGGGGGGGGGGGGGGGGGGGGGGGGGGGGGGGGGGGGGGGGGGGGGGGGGGGGGGGGGGGGGGGGGGGGGGGGGGGGGGGGGGGGGGGGGGGGGGGGGGGGGGGGGGGGGGGGGGGGGGGGGGGGGGGGGGGGGGGGGGGGGGGGGGGGGGGGGGGGGGGGGGGGGGGGGGGGGGGGGGGGGGGGGGGGGGGGGGGGGGGGGGGGGGGGGGGGGGGGGGGGGGGGGGGGGGGGGGGGGGGGGGGGGGGGGGGGGGGGGGGGGGGGGGGGGGGGGGGGGGGGGGGGGGGGGGGGGGGGAGCTATGGACGAGATAACCAGTATAAAATTTGCCTAGCATGACTCATTTCACAAGCGTTAGAAGTATGCTGCTGTTGCGCAACTTATTTTCGTGTGTTCAGGTAGTCCCCGTGCTCGAGCAGTTCGCAGTAAGTAGAAGGCGTTGCGGCCCTCATAGGTGGCAGTTCTGACGCCTCCCTTGTTGTCCCTCCCACCGAAACTCAAGGCCGATTTCCGCCACGAGTTCAGTTCTTACACCGTTTTTCGTTTTTCGTCACTATTAACAGGTATTAGCATTAGATGGCACGAACAAACAACCAGTGAGCTAGAGGCGGCGTGGTGTGTAACTGTAACTCTCCAGGTGGGTAATTTTACCAGGAGTTATCGCTTTACTCGACGAGTTTTCCGAACCTGCTCGTTTTGTTGGCATAAAACGAGCAGGTTTGGAAAACTCGTCGAGTGAGGCTGCCAGATCCTTAGGTAGGGGGTTTTCCATGTTATTCTTCTGCTTTTTTCCTCCCTGGAGAGTCCACTTAGCTACTACTGGTTTGTGTTGGAGTATTCACGATATACAGTCGCGGAGTTTGTCTTGAACCTCTGCGCCGATCGATTGCAATGGGGGTGGGGAGGGAGGGGGTGGGGGCAAGAACAGGGTGGGATTTTGACTAAAATCGCGGACGAGTCTGTGAGTTCCCTTCTCTGTAACGCTTTGGGACTCCAGAGATGCAGATAAACTTGTAGCTTACCTAGAGCATTATGTTTTGATGTACCGAAAAAGATGTAGAGGAACGATGGAAAAATTGCTGTGTACAAGCCGTAAACAGGTGGTACTCCAGTAATTCCAGCAAGAGCAATACCTGAAACTTAATTTATGACGGATACACTAACTGTTGTGTGGAAATTCATTGTTGATGCAGCACATGATGATCGCACGCACTTTTAAAGAGTAGTATCAAGTTAGGATCAGTCGCTGGTTGTGTGGATTGATGTGGCGGCCCGCCAACATATGTGCTGCTAAGTTTTGATCGGTGTGCTGTCCATGACAGCCAAGCACGTGCATCAACAGCTGGTAACCAAAGACTTTGATTTGAGGGAAACTTAACTTGTGGTACTGAAAATACGGCCATTGTGAGTCCTCCTGAGAGATCGCCGAAGAACGAATGGGACCAGTCGTAGTGTGGCAGCCAAGTGAGAATAGGGAGAAATGAGGTGATTCTGGACAGATTGCGCCGACGAAAAAGTCGTTGAAGGAGTCTCTCTACCCTGTCCCTACATTTGACGCCGATGGGCGCAGCCTTAGAAAGAAGCTGAAAATCAGACTTTTAAAAAGAATTTGTAGGCTACAAACCAGCATATTCACAATAAATTGGACAAAATAGCACAGACATAACAACACACATAACAAAATAACAAACACATAACAAAATCACAGAAAGTTCACCTCAGACATAAGATGGCACTGGTGGTGAACTCGGCTGTCCAGTAAAGAAATCAACAGATGGCCATCAATGACCGTCCTCTTAGCTTCCTACAATATGCATCGTGCGGTGATCGCTAATTCGTGGTGCAAATAAAACACCGTTGTTCACTGGATGGTACCACAAAGCTTCCGTGAAAGCACTCACAACTTGGCCCATGATTTCATACGGGGTGGTCACATACATAATATGTTTGGAGAATAATTTGTGAAATGAGAGAGAGGGAGCTCATCATTCATCGAGCGATTGAATAAATAACGAGAAAGTTTACCGGGCATCTATGGCGAGAATACTTTTTGCCTCCCACTGAATTTGTGAAGGGTTCCTATAGCCTATGTGAGAAGCACTGTAATTGCTCTGTAATTAACAAATTCCGGACCGCGTGACACACATGATGTGTCACACTTGTCTGCTCCCTCTGGCCGCCTGACACACATGGTGTGCCACTTTCCTCAGAGGCTTGAAGAATCGAAGAAGAGAAAGGGTGCTCCCTTATCAATATCAAACATCACCCTCAGCTGATGTTAGACGTTCGAAACTTGGTGGAGGGGTCCCTACAGGCAGTCGCTCCCCAAGAGGTCACCCCTTGTGATGTGCATTTACAAGGTCCTAATTTCCCTCTGAATCGCTTGAACAAGATGCAAGCTGTCATGAGAAATGTCCTTCCTTGATCATATATATCACAAACTTTCAAATTCTGTAATTTGAGAGCCGATATAAAGTTGTTGTCAAAAAACATCACTTCTGTATTGACCGGACACTCCATTTCAACAGATTAAAAATCGACAGAAAACAAGAACTAGTAGGAAGGCAGCCACTCTATCTCGTGGAGCGGAAATTATCTTTCGAATAGCATAGAACATAATGGGGAGCATTTCCAACATCCATATAAAAATTTGTGCAAGAAAAAAGCGCCAGTACTTATAGTCCAACACAGTAGTAGGAAATGCTGTTATAAATCGAAACAGCAAAGATTTTTCTCTGTAGGAGTGAGTATTCCTATTGTTCCCAACGCCTCCTGCAGAACCCGCGGAACGCCTACAGGACATGTTTTCTATTTGTATTTAGCTTCAGTCGATGAGCAGAGTGATTGATAGGTTCAGCCATGGGGTGCCACGCACTCGACCTCCTTCTCATTCCTAGTGATACTACAGTTAGATAAGTCTGTGAAACAGCTTTTTGAGCCTCGACAAATTCCCTGTAATTAGGAGCATGTGGAAGCATTTCCAGACGGGATGCGTTTTGTAGGCTACCGTTACGGTTCTGTTGGCTTCCGATTTCTCCAAATACGTCCGCCAGCGAGCCAGATGTGACCCTTTGTTAGTTGGGGATTCCTTAACGGATGCTTGACTTTGATTGGCAATATTGTGGCCTCACCCCACAAATGAAGATGCGAGTTGAGTCACCCCCGAGTGGGAAAGTGATTCGAGCCTCGTTCAACACTTGGGTGCGATACTGTTCGAATCCCACTGATTGCTTAAAACCGATTCCACACCCCCTTTTCGCCCTTCTGGGCTAACCGGAAGGGCTCCCAAAAATTCGATGGTACATTGCAGGGTACCATCTAAGCGCACAACACCGTTCACGAGTTCATTATTTACACCTGTGCAGCAATTCGCCACGCTGCACTAAACGCAGCGTCGTAGCAGAGGCGAGTTTGTTCAGCTATATTAACGTCGGAAATTGACGAATACTCAATGTAAACCAGAGCTCTACGTGCTAGAGCAGGTTTTGGCTTGTCTACCAGCACACATGAGATTCTTTGCTGCATTCCAGGGAAATTCCAAAGTTGAATGTGTATGTTAAATACAGAAATTATCATTTTAAAATGGCAAGCGCGCAAACCAGAGCGGAATGTTCGAAAGGACTCCACTCAAACGACTTCTCCATTCCTCAGTCCTCATCATAATTGAATCTTGGAAAATAAAAATTCACTGCAAGACTGCTCCCCTCTCCCCTTTCATGGTGTCGACCTGGTTTTCACAAGGTACTACAACGACACCCCCACCCCTTCAGTTCACCAGTCCCAATACTGCTGCCAACCGTGTCAAAGGTGGACATTACACCTAAAACCTAGGAAGAGAATAAACTCCCAAATTTATAGAATTCCCTCAAAAACCAAACTCATTCGCGCTAATACTGACCCCACCGAGCAATCCAAATATCCACGATAGAGTGGGCGTGGATCTTTAAACGACATCACCCTCTGATTGTCGTTCCTTTCCGTCTGCTCGTTAGCTCTTCATTCTGAAGACCGCCACGCTCTGTGGTCTCCTGTTTACAGAAAATTTCTCAATTTGGCCAAATTGTTATGAAAGCTACAACACTTACGAAATGTCAAGGGCTGTACGAAATTTCCGAGCGCTTTATCATCATGAGTTTGACCCTTAATTTGGTCTCAGCAAGCGTTGCCGGCTATAGCTCACGCGTTGACAGCATGGGTGGGGTTCCTTGATTATTTCACGATTTCTGCCTGTATATAAGCTATGATATCACTGAATGACCACATTCTTTTCCGTTCGATTCCCCAGTTATGACTATTTTTCGTTTTATTCCTTATTATATGCATAGCAAGAACCGAAAAAAAAACAGTAAAAACGTGTAGTAGGTCAAGTCTGGCGTGGCCTTCGAGGGCTGAGCTTGATATGTTTGGTCCCAAGAAAATCTTCGAAGAACGTTGCGAGACAAATTCTTACCGCTTCAAAAAATTGCATTCCTGGATTCCCGACTGCATTTCTGATTAATGAGAACACTTCCCCTTTTGAATTCTCCAAGTGGCGTTCCTCTAAAACTTGCTCTTCATTATGAATATTTTCAGATGGCAACAAGTGATCATTTGGTGCCCTTTTGAAGGAGATATGCAACGCTATCGCACGAGGCAACCTATCGCCAGCGACGAAGCGTTTAGTCGATGTTCAAAACGTTCAAAACTTGTGTGCCAGCTAGTATACAGGCTACAGGTATACATGGAAATAAAGTTGGTCGAAAGTTGACTTGGTTCCGGATGTCCCAGGCAGTAAAGGGTTGACAGCGTATGAAATTTTCACCGCCGCTCGGATCTAGAATATTCGGATCTAGAATAAACCTGAACTCGCCGTCGCTTTTCTTTCTCGCTAAAGTCGCAACTGTCCTGCATTCAAGCTGAACTGGGTGGGGGGGGGGGGAGAAGCCCGATCACAATAAGACATTGGTTTTTATCTTTGCAGAGCGCTACATGGCATGAGCGCCATGTAGCGCTCTGAAAAGGCTGTAGCTTGGAGGAGGAGTGATTCCCTCCTCCTAAGGCAAGCTCAGCCTCAGCATCGCATTGATAACCCTTGTGCCCTACGCTAACGTTCCTGCTAAAAATGAATGTCATATCAATAATAAGGACAGCGAATAACCCTAGTATCCAAGTTCCCATCAATTTGGGTGGAAGAGGTGATAGCACCAAATTGGCGCCCATTGGCGCCAGTTGGCGCTGGGACCTGTAGTGAACGTCATTTCGTGACCAGACCAAAATTAAGCCCTAGTATGTAACTTTCCCTGAAGTTTGGTGAAGAAAAAGGTTGGCGCAGCATTATTCTGGCGCCCCAGTTTTGATGAGGAAAATGGTGGCGCCAAAATGGCGTCAAACACCGCCGGCGCCAGAAACGGACGTCATATTCGTGATCGGGGCACTGAGTAACCCCTACCGGCAATTTTTCAGCAGAAATTCTAGAGGTTTTGGGCTCAGGTGCTGCTAGTTGAATCGTGCCTGGGACCCTTATATCTGAAGATCTCGTTGGTCCACTATTTGCATAAATTAACAAAGGTATGAAGACTTGTACATGGAAAAGTTCCTCGAAGAACTCGAACTGTTTCTAAAAATTTCATCAAAAGCCCGTCCGCCACATATGGTGGACATGGTCCGAAGTGGACATTTCGGTGTCCACCACCAGTGGCGGACATTGTCACGAATGGGTTAAAAAATGAATATTCATGAACGGTGATGTGCGCGCAAATGGTTCGTTCCGTATGGTTAATGTACCATCCATTTTTTGGGAGGCTCTTCCGGTTAGTTCAGAAGGGCGAAAAGGTGTCGTGGAATAGTTTTCAAGCATTCAGTCGACTTTGAAATGTATCGCACCCTAGTGTTGAACGAGGCCAATTTCCACTCGAGGGTGACTCACCTCTCACCTTCATTTAAGGGGTGAGACTACAACAGTGCCAATCAAGGTCAAGCATCCGTCGAGGAATCCCCAACTGAGTAGTTGTATCTGGATCGCTGAGGGACGTATATAGAGAAATCGGAAGCCAACAGAGCTGTGACAATGTGTATGTGGCATAAGAGCCAATGGAACTGTAACGGTGGCTTGCAAAAAATGCATCCCGTCTCGAAATGCTTCCACATGCTCCTAATTACAGGGAATTTGTCGAGGCTCAAAAAGCTGTTTCACAGACTTATCTAACTGTAGTATCACTAGGAATGAGAAGGAGATCGAGTGCGTGGCACCTCCATGGCTGAACCTATCAATCACTCTGCTCATCGACTGAAGCTAAATACAAATAGAAAACATGTCCTGTAGGCGTTCCACGGGTTCTGGAGGAGGTATTGGGGATAAAATAGGAATACTCACGCCTACAGTATGAAATCTTTACCCTTTCTATTCGTAACGGCATTTCCCACTATTAGGTTGGACTATAAGTAGTAGCATTTTTTTCTCACAGAAATTCTTATATGGATAGTGGAAATCGTCTCCATCATGTTGTATGTTTTTCGATAGACGATTTTCCGCTCCTAGTATGTCTGGTTTCTGTCGATTTTCAGGCACTATTTACCCTTTACTGCCCCAGTCATCCGAAATCAGGCCAGTTCCTGACCGACTTTTTTCTCCGTGGGCAGATTTTGCTCAAATGTGTCTCCTGGGGTAGTTTGACCTCCAGAATACGAATATCACATTCGCTCAGCCCAAAACTTCCTGGCGCCCGCGCCACAGGCGCCAATGATTTGAGGTACTTTGGAGCCGGTGCCCGTGGTGCAGGCGCTGTTTTTGTTCGTTCTCCATTGTTTTCCATTTCATTGCTTCTTATATGCATAGCAAGAATCGAAAAAGAAAGTAAAAAGTTGTAGTAGATCAAAGTGGGTGTGGCCTTCACTGGCTGAGCTTCATATGTTTGGTCCAAAAAAGATCTCCGAAGATCGTTGCGAGACAGATTCTTACCGCTGCAAGAAAAATACATTCCTCAGACGCCCAACTTCATTTTCCATTTATGAGAACAGTTCTCCTTTTTTGGCTCACCGCCTTTGTGCGACCACGCAAGGATTGTTTGTAAATCTGCATCGAGCGGTTATAGGTTTGGGGAAATACCAGAAACGCATAGTCTCTAGATTCAGGTACAGAACTCGAACTCTATAGGGGTGAGCCAATTCTAAGGGAAAACCATCGTTTATACTCAAAATCATTGACATCGGGTAGGCGTTCAACTTACCCTGAAGGTGTTTAGCTTCTGGAGGGATATTTTCATCTTGACACAATTGTTGTCGTGTCTCTGTCCAGCACAGAACAAGATGACAGTTGTCCCAGACTGGAATATTCGAGTAACCAATTCCGTGCCATGTTCAAATGCCACGCTTACTCTGGCTCAGGGATAAGGAGTGTGTGGGCCTCAGCAGCTCTGAACAGAAAAACTGGTGCAGGGCGCATCAACAAAGGAAAGACAAAAGCCTAAACGGTTCATCTCTCATTTTGAAGAATTGATCCTAAATTTTCATAGATGCAAACCAACCACGTCATAAATGATGGCCCCTGCTGTCAATGTCTGCTATTTAATGGAGAGAGAACGGGCACTTCGACTGAAATTAGCCAGAAAAACCTGATATACAAAATTGTAAAACAAGCGCAGCTCAGATGGTGGTGCTAGGCGAAATTTCGCAGAGGCTGCCTTCCGAGGACCTGAAACCCTGTTACCGAAATGGCCCACTTCTATCATATCGCACCCTCCTACGAGTTGACAAGATAGGGGTTCCGCTGGGTCGGCCTATAAGTGGCGTTTTTTTCTTACTCTAAATGTCACACTAAAGGTGAAAAGTTTCGCTATTGAACTTTACACTGTTTTGCTTACAGAGAACTCATTGCCCTATGCGGCAGCGCTCTCAGCATTTCTAAGGTTTCTCTTTCCACGAGTATTTGAGTGATCAAAATGGAGTGTCAGCTCGACGAAATTGAGCATTTTCTACAGCCTCTGTTTATTTTTTCTTCGATTAAAAAGTTGGAACCGCACAAGTCCTGTTGCTAAGTATATGGTCAAGAGCTATGTCCCTTAATAGTGCTCACAACGCTTTAAGTTATTCGGAGATTTCGATTTCACCTTCAGAGGCAAGCATAACCTAATGTCATGTTGAGTCCATCTGAAAGCTTACTGAATTACCTTGCTCACGGAGGTTCATACCAGAGAATGAGAAACCTTTAGGGGTCATGGAATGCTTCCTTTCATAATCAAGCATCACCATCAGTTGATGTTAGACGTTCGAAAGTTAGAGGGTAGGTTCTGCAGGCAGTAGCTCCTTGAAAGGGCCCATGCGATATACATTTTCAAGGCCCCAATTCCCAATTTTTGATTGCTTGAACCAACTTCAAGCCTCTATAGGATGCATCTTTCCTTGGTCGCATATAGTCGTTGTCGAAAACGTACTTTTGTGTCGACCCGACTTTTCATTCCAATGGAATAAAAATTGACAAAAATTAAGAAAGAGTAGGAAGGCAGTCATGCTATCATACCATGCTATAGAGAGGAAATTGTTTATCAAAC